TTTTAAATATTTTTGATTGGACCAATTTATTTGATTTATACCAGTTTTGTTCAATTTACCGCTCTACAAGTTTTAATGGACTGAAGACAGATGCTTACAACATAGTGATAGTATGTAATATTAGTTGTAAAGATGAGGTATTTATTAGTCGCTACAGCAACAAAAAATATTAAATATTAACATTTTTGATTAGACCAATTTATTTGATCTATACCAGTTTTGTTCGAAATACCGCTCTATAAGTTTTAATGAACCGAATGACAGTTTATTACAACATAATGATAGTAATGTAATACTATTAGGTGCAAAGATGTGCAAAATAACGCATATGATCCAATTTTTATGTTTTTTTTTGTTTGCTTTTTCTCCTGCCACGTGGGCAGTTCCTTTGTACTTTTCGCTTTACTATGTGCTCAGCTTTAAGTCGTTGTATCTAATTGTATTCTGAATATAGTATTGAAAATAATTTTTAGTTACACGCTTGATTATAATAGATTTTAATATGCATATTTAGTACGAATATATGTTTATTAGGGAGGATCTTAAATGTTGTAAAAAAAATTGGAAAGTATGCTCCTTACAAAAAAAAATTTGAAGAAAATTTTGAATTTTTAAACCCATGTGACATGCCTTTATTGTATATATACACAACCACATTGTCTATGTAGTATTTTGGATTAAAGGAGATACAAATGTAAGCATTGAATGAAACAAAAAAATATTTATTTTCCGTCTCTAATATAAATAGCAGTATGTGGATCCCTATGCCCTAATTCTCTTCCATTAGGATCAAAATTATGTGCAATGCCTTTATTTCTGGTGTAAACAATGGTGGTGATGAGATGTTGACTGAAAACATCTTTCATTTAAGTACTATCCTAATGTATGTATAAATAATAATTTGCCACTCCAACAATAAATGACATACCAGCATGCCTCTCGGTCAGCAAACCTGTCAGCTGTGATTGAAGCACTTCTATATACAGCACATTTTCTCTAGGTAATAATTATAAATTATTTCTAATTTGAAAGTTTTGCATCAAAAGCACGTAATTGCAACAGACAAGCCTTGTAGCGTGCGAAAAAATATAAGATATTATTACCCAACATTTTCTTCGCAAAGAGTAGCTAACTTACTTTGATCGACTAGAAAGATTCTAAAATTCTCCTCGTTGCATTACAATTACAGCACAGCGCTTACATGCAGCGTTACAACGAAATTTAGATTTCTTCCATTTATGCAATTAATTTTACAGATTTGATTGCTTTATGCTTGGTTGCGCAAGCTACAAGTACAAAGCAAGAATGTGTGTGTATGTGTGTGTTTGTCGGATATGTCGGTTACTCGCGCTGACATGACATGAAATATACCTTTTGTAGCAATTGTTGTTGTTGTTTTTTTATGTTTTTGCTTGTTGCAATTACTCAAAAAATGAAAACAATAATGCAAATTTCACATAAACACCACCCAAGTGATTACCTGTAATTTATGCACAATTATTTTAAAATTACAATCAGTTGGCTCGAAGTTTCCAGTGCAAAAAAGCAAAAAAATTAAACAAAAAATGCTGTAAAATAATAATAATCGTAAATTAAGACAGAAATTGCTTGTTTCCTTTTTTCGCCAGAAAATTATGATTTATAATTATTGCGCGTGTCCATATACCTACATGTCATATTAGCAAGCGTTTAAAATTTTAATTTTTTATTTATTAAAATAATTATTTTTTTTTGTGTTTTTAATACAATAAATAAAGTAATTATATATTATTTATTAATTTGTCTGCTGTTACGCAGTAGAGGTAATTATTTTTTTTTTTATAATTATAATAAATTTCATAATCTACGTTCAACTCTACTTAGTTATATTTTAGTTCTGAATTAATCGTTTTAATCTATTGGGTTTATTTCAAAGAAGTATTATAGTTTTATTCGGACTTATTTTTATTAACCTGAACAAGGTTTGTATAATATATACCCCAAAACAGCGTGACGAGTTGAGGCGAACTTGTGCCTGAGTTTATGAGATATCGATCTGAAATTTTACATATGCCCTTTTATCTCTAAGAAGCTGCTCATTTGTCAGTATCATCGATTTCGGACTACGATATGTTGTAGCTGCCATAAAAGTTGTTTTTAAATTCAAGTTCTTGTATGATATCGTCACAAAATTTGGCATAGATTATTGTCCAAGGCAATGCTACAATCTCTGAACATATTTTTCGGGGTGAATCAATATAGCATATAGCTGTCATACAAACTGACCGACCGAAATCAAGTTCTTGTATGTAAAACTTTTTTATTTGACAAGCGATTCCGGAAATTCGGTATGCAATATTGTCTAACGCAACGCTACAATATCCAAAGAAATTGTTCATATTGGACCACTATAACATATAGCTACCATACAAACAGATCCATAAAATTCCACTCCTTGTACGGAAAAACTTTTTTATTTTATGAGTTAGCTTCATGAAATTTGGCATAGATTATTGTTCAAGGTAACGCTACAATATCCGAAAAAATTATTTAGATCGAATCACCATAGTAGATCTTTTTATACCCTTTTATGTTATAAGAAAAGCAGCTGTGAAGGTTATTATAGCTTCGAGGCAGCCGAAGTTAGCATTTTTTCTTGTTTTGCCTCAACATTGTAGGCGTTTGTTTTGAAACTGCTTCAAAATTTTAGATTTTCTTTGCACAAAGCGATTTCCTTCAACAGCAATACATAACCTCTCATACATCTACACTTAAAAATTCTCTATTTCCCATGTTCTATTTTATATTATTATTATTACTTTTTGTTTGTGTGATTCCCCTTCGTCATTATTACAAAATTACCAACTGACTTCTATCGTTAACTTATACGGCCAACAAACCGGCAGCTGTTGGTCATAGTTAATGTGTTTTTGATGTTTTAGTTGTTGCAAATGCAATTACAACTAACTGCAAACAAACAACAAGTGTAATCGCAATGTAACTACAAGTATTAATTTTATTATATACTAACATTACATATACGGCAGGAGGAACTAGGCACAAAGCAAGTATTTTGTATATATGTATGTATGCATGTGGGTATGTGGGTGTGCAATGTAGCTCAACAAAGAAGGGCAAAGAACGACTGAAATGCTACTTACACACAATTAATTGCCTACTTGAAATTACAACTTGAGTTGTTTGCTGTTTGTTAGACCCTTCCCACTCACCTCTCTTCGTGGACACTTGAGTGCGCCCAGCTGTTTTCTCTATTACTGTTTACAGTTACATTGCTAATTTATCTCTTTTCTTTGTTGGCATCTAAGCCAATTGTTTTATCTACTTTATTTTTGTATTCAAAATGCTTTGTTCCACCTTCAGACATTGCAACGACAGGACGCACAAATGCATGGTTTTCATGGGCTTGTGTTTCCACTTCATTTGGACCTTGTTAACAACATGCTTGTCGTCGCCTTGTTTTTGTTATTTTTTATTTGATCTACTTGTTGGCTTTGTTTTTGTTGTTTTACTGTCTACTGTTTTACTATATGCACTGTCAACCGTTTTTTTTATAATGTCTAGCCGCTAGTGTGCAGTAACTGACATTGTGTCTTGCTTGCATCTATTTATTAGCTGCTGCCACACGCTCGACTGGCTTTTGTTTGCAAGGCAACATATTGAGTACCGTCAACAACATGCCTCCATTTGCCACGAGTTTTATTGTTTTTCTTAAGCTGTAATTTTTTTTTTGTGTTCTTGTTATTATTTTTATTTTTTATTTTTATAATTAGCTTAGTTTGCATAGAAAGATTGCAGCTTTTCTCTCGTGAGATAAATTGTAGTATAAAGTGAACTCAAAACCAATAGTGTGATTTGCTTCCAAAAAAGCTTCCATTTCATGCCAATATTAAAATTATTTTATTTAATATTTATTTAATTTTTTTAAGGTGGTAACCATTTGTAAAATTACGTCTTGAAGAATTATTATTGCTACTAGTTAATGTAGTATTAACTACTTTTTCAGACAAGTGGCAACTCTTCCTGCAAATTTTTTACTATAAAATTTTTTCATTTACATTTTTAATTCGTTACAAATATTATAATCTCTACATTAATTTATTTGATTAATTTTTCGAAATCATATTTTTCAACCAAGTGGCAACCCTTCTAAAAAATATCTTCAAGAGAAGTTTTTCTGAAACCTGTTTAATTTATTCAATTTTCAGTTTTTCTCTCTATTTTATAGTATTTTTATTCAGAATTAAAAGAAGATGGCAACCTTCCAAATTATCGAAATTTAATCGGGATTATTAATTATATTTTACGCTTTTGATATGTTATATCTTTAAAACAAAGACAACATTTTGACATAGAATAAAAAGCTTGTACTAGTAAATAAAGCAAATATTGTGCTTGCATTGGAACATTGCCTTAAGCCAGTCGCCAAATATGCCAACAATTTATTATACACACCACTCTACCAGTTTTGTGTGCCTGCTTCTTAGCCAGCCACGTATTGATATAAAAGTATATATGGTACATACATACAAATCCATGCTCTTTGTCTTACTGTAGCATTATTTTCATTCTCTTTGCTGTTCTTGCACTTTGTTTTTACAAGCACTTATTCTCAATTACAAAATCTAATTAAGATTTTTTATGCATAAAATCAATTCTCGTATGAATTCAATTATTCTCTATTTGCCGTTATATTACTAGTTTGTATGTCCATACGGTATATATGTATGTATATAAGCTAACATATCTGTGCATGTTTTTCTATGTGACAATATAAATAGTAGGGTCCCCTGTCGACACGGCAGAGTGTGATTTGAAATTTATGGATTAAATTCGTAGAAGTCCTATATTAACTAGTTTTGTACTAGTTACAAATTAACCAATAAAATTATTAGTTAATATAATTGTGTACCCTGGAGAATATTTCAAGCCTCTTCATAAAGACTAATGATTTTGCTTTTCTTATAAAAAATAAAATATATTTACAATTTCTTTTTCATTAGTAATACCAAACAATTCTGAATATATGATATCCAGTCTGTGACCAATTTTCCGTGACACAATACTGTGAATTAGTTGCGCTCTACAAATGACTGAAAATTCTTAAATATAGAGAAAAAATTGGCATATTTAATTGATGATTGCATTCGTCCCTGAAACTAAGTGCCAAAGTCCCAAACAACCATCAGCGAATCAACAATGCCAACATTAGACAACTAACTGACAAACCAATAATTCAGCAATAAACCAATTGCAACCAGTTAGCCGATTGACAAGCGACGGCAGGTAGCCATCGAAGAGCGACGCAGCGGCCTACCAAAAACGAATACATACAAACAAACACACCTACGTACATAGCAACAATTGTGTTGCGCCGTTACTGTCACCAGAGAATAATATAGAGAATCTGTCTTATTTATTGGAAATTAAATGCAATTGCGAAAAAGCGCAGAAATCACATCAAACGCCGTCAAGTGTTGATTTTTATTCAATTATTCTTTAATAAAAAATTGCAAATATACATACGCTACTGAAAAAAAAAACAACAAAACAAAAACAGAAGTGGCAATAAATTAATAATTTTAAAGACAGCTGTGTGGAGAAGAGTACATTTGTGTGTATGTGTGAAGGTAAAGAAAAATAAATGAAAAAAATAATTAAAATATTGAATTTTGAAGACAAAAGTATTTGAATTTTGAAGAAAAAAAATGTTTGAATTTGAAAGAAATAAATATTGAAATTTGAAAGAAATTATGCTTCAAAAATAATTTTTTATTCAAAAACGATAATAAAATATATTTATAAAAAAATAATTCTCCAAAAATTAAAAATAAAAAAATATATATATTATTTCAAGAATTAAAAAAAAATTTATATATTAAAGAATTAAAAAAAAATATATATTTTTTCATTAAAAAAAAACATTTTTTTTCTCAAAAATTAAAAAAAAATAATAATTTTTATGCTCTGAAAGCGAAAAAATAAATATAAAATTTAAAATATATTCGCATATACATATTTAAATGCTAATTATGTACAAATTTTTGAGATAAAAATACAAATACAATAAAATTTAATGAAAATACTGAAGTTCCCTTGAGAATTGCATACTCAATTACAAAACAAAAATTAAAAATTCATACCAAATGTAAAGTGCATAAATTATTTTAACAGTACAAAAACAAGTACAATGTGAATCAGCACAGGTGTACGCAATATAAATCATAAAAACCAATAAGTGTTTATCAAACATAAAGTCAACATATGCATATTAATTGCACAATAACATTTAGTGGCCGCAATAAAGGGGAATATCAAACAGACAGCGCTGCAAAAATTAACTAATTAAAAGTATAATAATTCATAAACTTAAAAGATATAAATAAACATTGCAACGCTAATTGAGTTAACGCGCTCCGGAAGAAAACAATGGCGATACCGGGACACCCACTGCTCTGTGCAGTAACGCCAACAGTCTCAACTGTAACACTGACGCCGCTGTCGGCGTTAACAGCGACTGCAGTGACAACATAAAAGCAGTCACTGTTAATGAATTATAACTAACAATCGTCGCTGTAACAGCAGCAGTAAAAACAACAGTACTGTAAGAGTAACAGCCGAAGCAGTTAACATTAAACAACAGTCGGCGTTGCAGTGGCGGCGCAGTAACTGCGAAATGTATGTAAGCAGCACGCGAACACATCTAACCAACGCAGCTGAGCGTCAACGCTCATTCGAGCACAACGAAAAGCGCAGAGTTTGTGAGTAAAGCAGCTTTGTTTATTATAAACATACACGCACACATCCTACATTGCTACTGACATAACGTCAACGGAGTCGCGTGCGCTGCAAAACGTGCAATGAAGCGGCGTGCGTGAGCAGCAAAGCTTTAGACGAACCTTTGATTACCAGGTTGCCAACACATAGCGTGTGAGTCCCCCCTGTGGACCCCCCTTATGTGCACCACACACTTTCGGTCCACTACAAGCCGAACTTAAAGCGTCGCCGGTCACCACTAAGCTCAAAGCACGGCGATCGTGAATAATAAACTGTTTTATTTGCTGGCTTCATTCGTGTCTCAGCCGCGAAGCGTTGCAGACGACGTTAGAGCGAACGAACGACGCTTAAAGCTGCAACTTACAACGTCGCATACATAACCAAAAGTGTGTATTTTTTGTTGTTGTTGTTGTATATCAACGCGTGTTGTACGTCCCATTGGTCGTTAGCGGGTAGCGTGCGGCAATATTGCGGTGGTAAAGGTGCAACGGTGCTTGCATAAAATAAAAAAACGAAACAACACAGTTGGCTGGCAAAAACGCAGAAAGCGGAATAGAATAAGTGAAGTGGCGTGGAATAAATGCGAAAGAGGAATGCGTTAATACGCTTTGCTTGCCTGTTGATATTTGATCGGTCAGTTGCTTTGACTCGCTACTAAAGGTATTGCATGTGCAGCGATCATCGGTAGCAGCTGTTGTTGCGAGTTGAATCGTAAAAAACACACGTTGATTAGAAAAATATTTGCAAAAGCTGAAAAATATTCAAAAATAAAACGGCAGTCTACTTGTTATTGTTGTTTTTAATTTTGGAAAAAAAAATATTTGTGCCTTTTGAAATTCAAGCAAAAATAATTAAATAAATAAAATTAGCTAAATAAAATATATAAATAAATAAATAAATTATATAAAAAAATAAATAAAATATATAAAAAGGTGTATCTGAGTAAATAGTATCCTATAAATAAATTAAAAAAGGAAAGAGTTTATGCTAAAAATATAAAACTGCAAAGCCATATTTAAAACGGTAAAAGCAGCGAAACAAGTTATAAGTACGTTGTGGTGCGAAAATAATAAATTCCAATAAAACAAATGCCAACGAAGGAAACAAGCCTGTTAAAATATGAAAAAAATATGGTTGAATAAAAATTGTGAACACAAAATAAAAATAAAAGAACTGAAAAAATAAAATAAAATTTAATTGATGTAAAAGTTAAGCAAAAGGTTTTGGTGAAGATTCTCCAAATATCAGATAGTTAAAAACTATTCAAAGAAATAATAATTTAAAAGTAAAAATAATAATTTAAAAATATAATAAAAAATACGGAATAATAATAAAAAAAATATAACTAATAAAAATACGGAAAAAATAAAAAAAAATATAACTAATAAAAAATAATAAAAATTAAATATTTTTTTAATAATTAAACAAGTTACAAATAAAAACTTTAAACAAATAAAAACTCATTATAATAAAAAATATAAAACAATCAAATAAAAAAATTATAAGAAACATTTTTTTGAAAATTAAAAAATAATCATCATTAAAATAATACAAAAGTTTCAAAATAATAAAAAAAAGTCATCAAAATAATAAGTAAATTTTAATAAAACATCAAACAAAATTGTGAAATAAGTGAAATAATTTAAAAGAATACTTATCTATTGCCTAAATTTTATAAAAATAATTCTAAAAGTGGAAACGGCAACCATAAAAATTTACTGGTCAACAAGAAGATCATTTTGAAAATCCGAGTTTGATAAAAAGATAACACACTCAAAATCAAGAAGTCTAAATTATAAATAAAAAAAAAGAAATACTAACTGTGAAGAAGAAAAATAATAATTAAAATAATAAAAAATTTATATTCTTAATGAAATTACGTTTTACAAAATCATATTGGAGTACAGAGAATAAAAAATATTGAGTGGAAATTAAGAAAAAAATTTTGTAAAAATTAAAAAAAAAAAAAAAATTTTTTTAACAAATATTTCAATATTCTAAAAAGATTTTTATAACAAACAACAATTAAATAAAGTTCCAAAATATATAAAAAAATTAAAATTACTGTTTGAAAAAATAATATTATTGAGTTAAGATTAAACAAAAATTTTTTAATAAATTATTTTCACTTATGAGCAAAATGCGCATACTCCCAACTCGACCATAAATACAAACCACTCAATTACAAACGCTTTAAACCGATTCTTGCGAGTGTCTGCCTCTTCCATTGATTTTTTCCGCTAACAAAACACAACGGTTAAGGGCGTGCTTATCAATTACACAACCATAGTGCTGCACCTAAAGTCGTTGCGCTACACCATCTTCTCTTCCTTTCTTCCTCCCCCGTCGTTTACTGTCTTCTTTGACCACTACTTCTTTGTGTTGTCGCCTGATCGCCGCCATTTGGCATACAGTTATCGCGTTGCAACAAAAAACAATGTGCAGCCGGAAATGTTTTCGCGTACACACACTGGTCATACTCGGCGTCATACTCACCATTGTGCTCGTCTGCATTGTCGGCATAACGCTGACGAACAGCATCAACATTTCGAATATCATCAAATTGCGGGAGAAGGTCGCCAGCGATTCGGCTGCGGCGACCGGTGCGAATGCCGTGCAAACACGTGCCGCACTCGTCGAACAACAATACTCTACACTGCAACAACATCATTTGTCGCGTAGCGATTTAAATTACATAGCGGCAACACATCCCAAGAATTTGCAACGTTTTGCCGGCAGTCATGGGGCCAGCGGAGGCGGCAGTGGTGGTGCAGTTGGTGATCACGCAAATGTTGGTGCGGCGGCGCAAAATAAAATTGTCATCGAAATTGGCATACGAAATTTTTCCACTGCGCTCTCCAACGCCAGCCATATGGAGACGGCGGCACAAAAGCAGCTGTCATCTTCTGCCGCTGTTGAGGCGCTGATCGATAAACTCATCGAACCCATAACTAGCGCCATTGTTGACGGTAACATTGACTCGATTTCGGTGCCTGCCACGGCTACGGGTCGCCAATTGAATGAGTCACTGTCCCAGTTGGTCAATGCGCAGGAGACTCGTTTGCGCGCTCAAAATGAAACAAAGCTGCTTCAAGCAACAGCAACAACAACAACGCCTACTATGGATGCGTCACAGTTTACCACAACGTTGGAGCCAATGCTGTCGCCGCAACCGAACGATCGTCTGGGCATTGCCGATCATAATCCAGGTCAGATTGACTTTGCGAAGCGCGAGCATGTTAAGCAGGTAAATTGGAGAATTTATATAATGTGTATTGTCATATGTGTGTATATACAGACATATATGAGATGTTTGTGGAGTGAGAATACATATATAATTATTTGTGAAGTTAAGAGTAGTATAATACCTTAGCGGTGAATATTATTATATATTATTCTTGGAATTTATACGATGTAGGTGTGAAAAATGTTGTGTTGGAATTTGAAATTCAGTGTTGGAGCCCATTACCTACCAGTATAAAGGAAGTTATTCTCAAAAGTAATATATTGAAACTAGCTATTGTCATGCTCTCACAGAAAAGGTTGCTGCTCTCAGGTTTTTGCTTCGACGGCCACCTAATAAATGGCGAAGCTGAAAAACAAAATATTATATTATAGCTCATGAATTTATGAAAATTATCTGGCTTCCAATCTCTTAATCTTTGCATGATAGTTTTCCAAACTTGTACTCTCCTTAGAAGACTTCTAGCTTGAAGGCAATATACATACGTATTCCTGGCTTCATAGCTGCAAATGATAGTTCGTCTGGAAGCTCAGATTTGAATCCATTGGACTACAGTCCAATACTCAAAAAGTCTCTGTGCGTGATGCTAGTGATCAATGACCGATTCGGGTGCTTTGTGTATGCAAAATGTGATCATTACGATTAAAATTTTGTACATTGCTCTTCTTATATATGACCTAAACAAATATAATTAACTTTAATGTTTTATAGTTTCATTTTTATAACGGCCTGAACTTGTAGCAGAACTTATGGCTGGATTAAGTATTATACATACAAATGGAATTACTAATACTATACTAAGGGTTTTCTGAATTGAGAATATATATATTGCATATTTTTTCGTGGTATTTTTTGTTATATCTCTATTTTTGATTAATTTTTTTTTCTATTTAAATAGTATATCGTTCATAAAGACTTTGCCACTAAAACATGTTTTATATCTTTTCATTGCAGGTAAGCGATCGTGATCTAAATATAAGCGATGTTTAATGGTATTGAATGTTGAAATGAGGTTTACAGGTTAGAACAATTATTAATACGATTCATTTTGTCATTTATTGTGTATTTATTTTAATATTGAAATCTTATAGTACTCAGTCAATGGTCACAGAAATGTGTATAATGTTTTTTTTTTAACTGTGCTTTTACTGAAAGGTCTTACCACGAATAGCTAACTAGTAATCGCAAATTATCATATTAGAGACTTATAAAAGCTTAGTTTTAGTTCGTGGAGAGACGCCCTAATTTCCTAATTCCCTTCTTAGACCAAAGTAGCAAACATCGGTCCTTTTTGTTGGTTCAAAGATAAACGTAATACAATTTAACTACAACGTATTATAATTTTGAAGTCAGAGCTCATCAGTGTCAACAGTGACATTTGAGAACAGTGCGTCTTCAGAAGTGAAAAACGAAGAGTCATTGATGATAGGCTAGGTGACAAAATCCAATCTATTCTTCGTAGACTTGAGCATCAATCATAGCTGCATGGTAAGTTCCAGACAATAGAAAATCAGAGAGTGCTCCCTTTCGTATTTGAGAGTGACTACGAGAGAAACAATGTTTACAGTCAACTTGTTTGTTATTACTAATGAAATATAGTGGAAGAAAGCTTGTTTATTCCTCAATAAATTTTAGACGATCTATACGCTGTGATTTAACAGTAGAAAATGTACTTACTTCTTACTGTATTAATATCAAATTGCTCGAAAGGCTTCGTCTCTATTCTGACACAGCTGGTGGTGTTTTTGAGCATTATTTTAAAATGCATTGTAAATTTAGTAAAGCCATAAATTCTTGAAATTTCTGCATAAATGTTTTCTTGGTTCATGGAAACCTGCTTTAAAGAATTGGACAGAGTGCACTTAAGTTTAAATTCTTCGCAACGCTGAAAGAATTAGCAAACTATAATATTAAAGTGGCGTTAGTTTAACAAATTATTAAAACTTATAAAAAATATAAGCAGAATGAAGAAAAAACAACAAAATTCAAGCGCTTTGCGAATTTATTTTCATAAAATATTTATCTTTCAATATTTTATTTATCTTTTGCATTTGCACAATTTCCACTGTTCGCCTGTGCAGCCGTTTATATGCTATAAATTCAGGTTCATATATAATCCTACATACAGACATCTATTAAAACGCCTACGTTTGTACTACAAATTTCTGGAGTTTTCATGCAATCACATGATGTTATTGCATTTAATATAATTTGTATGTTTCTAATTTGACAATTTATGACGAGTACACATATGGTGAGCTGTAAGCTTTTGATTTTTGTTTTTTTCAAATGGCCATTAACTCTAGAAGTCCCTGTGTACATATTTGTTGTATTTATTTGTTTACTTTACTCTTTTGTTTTATTGTAACCCGACACATGCACTAAATTGCTTGGCTTTGATTTGTGTCATTTCTGTGTTAGCGCCCGGACTGGCGCGTGACAGTTAGGGGGGAAATCTGTGCGAATCAAAAGTTAGAAAAAATCATGATAGATCACCAATTATAATTTGTGTTGTTTGTTTGCATAAAATTGTTGTAAAAATATTGCGCTTTCATAACTCAAAATAAATTCACATATATTTTTGTAGAAGTTGGAGAGAGTTGAGCGACTGCCGCTTTTTCTCGTCTATATTTAACTTTTCTCATTATATTTAATTAGCATGCAATTAACTTGTTGCAACTAACTACCAATATTTCATTTATCGTCATGTGGTTTTAAAGTTTTAATAGTTTTTAATAGTTTTGAGATAAACTTCCTGTATTGTTTTCTATGTGTTTTTTTCTCTTTCTCCAATAATTTGTAAATTTTCAAAATTTTTAACTTTTCTCTAGCTGAGGGGTAATTTTAGTTATTAAGATAAGATTTTTTTTGAACAGTATTATGGAAGGTAGAGTATTGAGCTGCCTGACTTATCTCACCCTGAGTTTGATCTAATTGAAATTTGTGGTTTGAGCTGATGCGTTCCTAGAATTATTGAATATTAATAATTTGTAGGCTTTTGATCTAAGATCAGCTGATTGGGCCGTCATTTAGTTAGAAATTTATGATGTAATTTTCTAATGAGATCGAAATCCGTTTGGAAAAACATGTCTTGTATTTATCGAACCGTATTGAAAAATCATTTTTCTAGTTAGACCAGGGTAGATAATTTCTTAAAGGGGAAAAATACCAAAAAATCTTAGTAGGATGGAACCCATTGGAAAAGTGATAATTTGGTAATTATTATTTTGAAAGGAAAAATAATTTACTACGGGTTAAAATCGACCTATCTCGATTTCCGATAAAACTACAAGTCCTATCGAAAAAGGTTCCATGACATTGTTGTAGGTAATAAAAAGATCTACAACTTTTGCTTAAATACCTTCTTCAAATTACCTCAAAATGTTTGCGAAAAAACCAAATTATTAATATTTTGAGTTTTTTTTTTATATTTTTCTTGGGCAAAACAGTTTTTATCTGTCACAAAATTTTGTGTAAGTTTACCCATTCAAACACACTGTATTTTTTAATTTAAAATATTTATTATTTTCTCTTAAATTTGACTCAATATCGAATAAAACCCCAATTTTAAACCAAAAAATTTCACGTCAAAATATCAAATCGATTTACTAATTTTCGAAACTGGCGAATCGAACAAACATCTGGTATGAATGGAAGAAGGGAGGAACTAGGCTTTGTCCTTGATGCTACTTGTGAATTATTGTTCAAGAGAGCAACGCAGAAACAACGAATAAAGAAATTACGAAGACCAGCTAATTAGGGATTTAATTAGTGTTTGCCATATGCCTATATCGTTTCCTTGTCCATAAATTTAAATTTCACACAAACAATATTTTTTACCGCGCTGATTGGACACATTTTTATTGAACACCTGGTTTGTAAGTTTATCAATTTCGATTTTCGGGCGAATGAAAAAAGAATAACAACAAAAAGTATAAAGTGGAGTCATGCATATACATATATTTGTATGTGCTCTTAAATGTGTATGTAGTACGTGCGTATTTCAAGCAATTTTACTTAAATTTTTACAGACGTGTGCTGCACAGCTGCATTCATAAATCATATTTATGTCTCTTCCGAAGTTTGTTTGCACATTTAGTTTGTTACCCTCAACTGGTTTTATTGATTTGATTCTTTTTTGTATATATTTACCTACATATATACGATATATAATGTACGAGTAGATATGTAAAGTTCTTTTTATTTTCATTCATTATCCATGGCAAAGCTGTCACGTGTTTTTTGCACCCGGTATTTATTTATAAATTTTATTTATTTGTTTTTGTTCATTACCTGCGTTTTGTTTTTGATTTTGTTGTGTTCGTGAGTTTCTTATTTATACACGTTTATATACATATAGTAAGTGGCATAAGTTCCTTCTTTATTATTTATGCAAATTTTCTTTGTTACGCCGCATTCAACTTGCATACCAAGTGGGTTTTGTTACACCGTTTCGCGTTTCTCCATTTTAGTGCGTTTTGCGTTGCATTTATGTGCGAATAAGTCTGTAAGTTTGTAGATATTTGTGAATATTTGTCGTTGCTGCAGTTATGCATGACTCTTTTTGTTGTGCGTCATCTATATCTCCATGCATTTTTGCCATCCATGAGCTTCACTTTTATTATGGGATTGGCGAAAGTAGCATAAATACACGCATACAAATGTATATGTTTATACAATTACAGTTATTGTTTTGCTTACCTGCCATTATGTTATACTATTCCTCTTTACAGCTTAAACATTTTCTCTTGCCATAAATTTAATTGCAAAGTTCAGTTTGTAATAATTTAGGGCGACGCAGTCTACTTACGGCTTTCTTATTTGTAAAAGCTATATTTAAGTTGTATGTATTGTACCATGAATGAAATCTGTAAATTTTTGAAGTACTAATTTTTAGTATAGTCTACAGAATGCCTCAATTTAGTACCGGCAGTCACTTTCTTTGGTTTTTTCCAAGTATTAATCCAATTAGTCCACAAATAGCTCAATATTAAACACCAAAA